CAGCAGCAGCAGCAGCTTCTGCTGCAGCCGTTGCAGCTACAGAGTCTGCTGCATCAGCAGCAGCAGCAGCCGCTTCTGTGGCTGCTCAACCCACCCATCTATAAACCGAGGAGATACAACACTCTCTCCTTCTTCTTCTGCAGCAGCAGCAGCAGCAGCTGCTGCTGCTGCTGCTGCTGCTGGGGGAGACACGGGGCCCTCTAGACAGGCTACGATTGCCTCCAGCAGCAAAGGAGACAAAGAAGACAGCAGCAGCTCCAGCAGCCGCAGCAGCGCGAGGGGGCCCACGCAGGGGGCCAGCAGACGAAAGAGAACACGATAAACACACAAATTCTGCTGCTTAGGGTCACCGCTGCTGCTGCTGCTGCTGCTGCTGCTGGTGCTTGCTGCTGCTGCTGCTGCTGCTTCGGCCAGCAGGCTGCTGCTGATAGAATCCGCCACCGACTGAATGCTGCTGCTCGTCTCCAGCTGCGGCAGCGCAGCAGCAGCAGCACGAAGCTCATCGAGGGTTTGGGGTGTCTGTACACTGTCGGCTATGCGAGCAGCAGAACCAAAAGACAAAGACAAACGCCACGGCCACCACCGGCGACGCCCGGGAACTGCTGCTGCTGCTGCTGCTCCTGCTGCTCCTGCTGCTGCTGATGCTGCTGATGCGCCTTCTTCTCGGATTCCTGCTGCTACTGCTGCTGCTGTTACTCCTGCTGACGATGGTGCAGATGCTGCAGCTGCTGCTGCTGCTGCTGCTGCAGCAGGGGCTGGGGGAACGATCACGCAGAACTCATTTGGGGCAGCAGCAGCAGCAGCAGCTGCAGCAGCAGCAGCAGCAGCAGTTGCTGTTTCTGCTGCTGCAGCCGCTTCATTCTGCTGCAGCAGCGGCTCTGTATCTGGGGACATCTGTAGAGGGAAGAAGACACCCGGTTGGGTGTTTGGCTGTTGCTGCTGCTGCTGCTGCTGCTGCTGCTGTTGCTGCTGTTGCTGCTGCTGCTGCTGCTGTGGCTGTGGCTTCGTCGGCGCTGCCGCATACCACCGGCAGCTGCAGCAGCTGCTGCAGTTTCTGCTGCTGCTGCAGCAGCTGCTGCAGCAGCAGCAGCTGCTGCAGCTGCACAGTGAGGCCTGAGGGCCCCAGTAAGACGGGTGGCGACCGCTATTGAGGCAGCATAGATCTTCCCCTTTCCCCTGCAGGGTTTAGGGTTTAGGGTTTAGGGTTTAGGGTTTAGGGGCGAGGGTTTAGGGTTTAGGGTTTAGGGTTTAGAGCTGCTGTGGGGGAGCGGCCGTCGGCGCTGCTGCTGAGACGATCCCCCGCGGGCTGCAGTCTTTTGCTGCTGTTGTTTGTCTTGGTGGTTGGAGACAAACAAATAAATAAAATTAATATATTTATACTACAAACAACACACATCATCCTCAGCAGCAGCAGCAGCTGCTGCAGCAGCAGCAGCAGCAGCAGCAGCGGCAGCCCCCTGTGGGGCCCACCGCTCGCCGCTGCCGACAGCAGGAGAACAGCAGCAGCAGCAGCAAGCCAGCAGCAGCAGCAGCAGCAGCAGCAAATCAAAGAAAGTATATTCATTCGTTTCCACTATAAACCCATAAGCCCAGGCTCTGGGGTGTACGTACACCCCACGGCCGCCCTCGAGCTACGGGCCTCAACAGCAACAGCAGCAGCAGCAGCAGCAGCAGCAGCAGCAGCAGCAGCAGCTTCACTCCTGCTGCTCTGTCTTTTGGGGCTTTATTGCATGCATCCATCACACATTGGAGGGGGACACAGAGAAGACCTGCAAACGCCTGAGGCAGCAAGCTGCTGCTGCTGCTGCTGTTGCTGCTGCTGCTGCGGTTGCTGCTGCTGCTGAACGAGGCTCGAGGACCGAGGGCTCAGGAGCAGAAGCAGCAGCGGGAGCGCTACGCAGTAGTAGCAGCAGCAGCTGCTGCTGCTCCCGCTGCAGCAGCAACTGAGCGGACACCACAAGAAGCAGCAGCAGAACTGCAGCAAGGGGAGGCGAGCGGCCTGCTGTATCGACAGAACAGCAGCAACAACACACGCAGCAGCAGCAGCAACCGCAGTAGCAACTGCAGCAGCAGCAGCAGCAGCAGCAGCAACAGCAGCAGCAGCAGCAGCAGCAGCAGCAGCAAAGTTTTGTATACAAATGAGCGGCCGAGAACCTTCGTCTTCGTTTTTCTTTGCCTTTTGCTTCAGGCCCCCCAGCAGCAGCAACTCAACACCCGCCGGTT